CAGTCCCTTTCATTGTTCCCTCTGGGGCAGCCCAGTGAGAGATGAGCTGAGCATGAAGACCCTGCCCCGCCCCGCCCTGCTCTGTCCCTGTCCCTGTCCCCGTCCCACAGACTGGGTGAAGGGATATTCGCTGCTCTGTTCCTGACAAGCATAACTATGGGTCGAGGGGCAGCCGGGTGATCTGGCTTGGAGGAGGGGCTGAGGATCAGGCTGGGACCCAGCATCTCTCGTCCTTTTGCCAGCGGTGGGATTCTTATAACGTGCCTCCTACAGCTAGGAGTGGGAGGCTGAGGCAGGAGGATGGAAAGTCTGAGCCCAGCCTGGGCAACTTAGTGACTCAATGAGACCCTGTCTCAAAATAAATAAATAAACAGGGCTGGGATATAGTTTGCCATGAAGGCCCTGGGTTCAATCCCCAGTGCTGCAAATAAAAAACACTCCCTTCCCTCACTCCCGGCTGAGACCCTGCAGCAACTGCCCTGTGACAGAGATGTCATGAGAGGGTTGAGGTCACTGTGGTGTGTCCATCGGCAGTGACAGAGGACACCAGACAGCACTTCTTGTATGTCCAGCCAGGCCTGAGTGTGGCACTGTCCTTGTCATTGTCACTGACTCTGCCGACCAGGCTGTGATGACCGAGCTGGGTGCTGGGTACTTGATGTGCTGTACTGGTCACTGCGTCTCTGTGATGTGGAAGCCTAAGCTTAACGACTTCCATCCATGACTGCTTTTTTCTGAGACACGGTCTTGCTGTGTAGCCCAGGTTGGCCTTGAACTCATGGTGATTCTCCTGCCGCAGCCTCTTGAGTGCTGGGTAACAGGGATGCATCACCATGTCTGACAATCATGACTGTTTAGGTAGCTTAGGGTTGGCCTTGGGTCCATCAGGTACCTGGGCCCCCTGCTGCTGGGAGCTCTGTGCTGTGTCCTGCAGCTGAGGACCACTCTGTATCCGAGGTTCCCTCGAGGTAGAGTTGGCCCTGTGTCGCTGATCCTCAGGTTACACTGGGCTTCTTCCTGGGGTGGCTTGGAGTTCCTGCTGGGAGAAGGGACGCTCGGCTGGCCCAATGGGCCACAAAGCCGTCACTGTGGAAGACGTGGAGAGAGTGTTGCCAGGGACAGGAGGTACCCAAGGGCCTGGCACAGGGGAGGAAAAATGCAGAGCGGACACCTCATGCAGTCAGGCCTGCGGTCGGCTCACAGGCCCACCGTACCCTCACAATGGGTGCCCCTCCTCATCCTCCTCTGCTCATGTCACACAGATGTGCACTCCTGGTGTGCCATCAGCCCCGATGCTTCCTGCTTTAATCTGACAGCCTGGGGGCTGGGGATTTCGCTCAGCGGCACAGCGCCTGTCTGGCAAGCACAAGGTCGTGAGTTCGATTCCCGGTACTGGAAAAAAAAAAAGTAATAATAAATAAATAAATAACCTGACAGCCTGAGGGGCACAGCTGTCCCCAGTCACCACAGCAGTGGCTTCAGGTCACTCCCACAGCTGCCCCTGCTGAGGATGCCCAGGGCCTGTACACAGAACTAGCTACCTTCACACGTGAGCCGTGGGTACCGTCCCGTGTGAGGTCGTGGGCTGCACAACACGCTGGGGTCACCCGAACACGCCTCTGCCTGTGCCCGTGAGAGGTGCCATGGCCCTCTTGGTCTCCCCGGGATGAGCTGTCTGGTGGCACATTTCCCAGAGCGTCTCCCCTTTCCTGAGCATGGTGTGGCTGTACCTTACATGGTTACCAGGGGCCTGTAACACCTGATGCCATGTAAACGCCACGGGAAGAGCTGCTCTGCAGTGTGTTTTGGGGACACTCCAAGGACACAGCCTCTGGCAAGCACCCAGCTGTCATTTGCTGTTCCTACGGCCCGGTCACCTGGCACGCAGCGCACACACTCAGGCCATGTTTGCGGAGTGACCGAGTGAGTGACCAGAGGTTCACAGGGAGCCATCATTGGCTCCCAGCCACACTGGGGGGCCAGACCCCCGCATCAGGGTCCAAAGGGTGGAGCTGTAGAAGGTCAGGCTCAGGGTTTCAAAGGCTTCCATCCGTTCCATTGGTTCCAGCCCTGGGGGCGTCACAAGTACAACATGGACTTCGTTGCCTCCTGCAGGACCAACCCTTCCTACAGAGTTTCAGCAGCTCGGGCCCCAGCTCCTGGTTAAACACAGGTGCTGGCTCCCCCGGCTTCTGGTCCCGAGGAGACAAGGCGCTAAGGGGGTCAGCTCTGGCTCCCACGGCAGGCCACCTGACACACTGCGAGGGCCACAGCCTGTGAGTCAAGCTGGGCCAGCAGAAACAGGAGGAACTCAGCAGCAGCCTCTCCCTGCGCTCCTCACGCATCCAGGACACCTGAGGCACGGCCCTCTGGGGACCCCGTGTGCTGAGCAGCTCGATGCTCTGTCCTGGCTGCCTCCTCCCTGTCCCTGCGCTCTTGTCCCTCCCTCCACCCATACCCACTGGCCTCAGCCTGCAAGGAAACAGAGGTGCCTGAGCTTCGCCTCAGGGTCTGTGTCTAGGCAGCCTCACCTAAGATGAAAAGGAGAGTCTGAGAAAATTGTCAAATCACAACCACTCAGAAAAACCCAGGCCTGGTGTCCCAGTGCAGCCATGGTTCAGAGCAGCAGCGACACTTAGAAAATGCAGCAGAGCGGGAAGTGGACAGCCACTCTGCGACGGCGCTGTTTAAGAAGTCCAGCCCACACCGATCACACGGCCCAGTCTCCCACTCCTCAGTGTTGAGCTGGGAGGGGAAACCAGCAGACTCTCCACACAGCTCACAGGGCTGCTTCACACTCCAGATGGCAGCGTGTTTGACCCTCAGAGCCCTGTGCAGCAGTGAGATGACGGACGTTGATTCACGCAGCACGGACAACACTCCAGCACCAGAGGCCACACTGTGTGAAGAGGCTCCGGGCCACACAGGCAGTGCCTCAGGTTGCTGGGAGCTGCACGGGGCACCCCAGCCAAGGCAGAGCAAGTGTTTGGTTCCTTTACACAGAACCCTGAAGCGTGCACATAGGTCTGCAGCAGGCCAGGTCGGGTGGTCTGGCACAGGGCAGGGTGGGCTGCAAGAAGACGCTCGGATGCTTCTGGGTGACAGGTTTTGGGTTGTTCCAGGGATTGTAGGCCATAAGCAAACCCACCAAATTATCAGGGCAGTGATGTCTCTTGTTTAAAGCATTTCGGCCGGGGAGGAGCGCATCCAAATTCTTTGTATGAAACCAGCGTAACCTTGGCACCAGGAACTGCCAGGAAGTGCCCATGCGTGAGGGGCTTGGGTCTGTGTGTGCACTCTGGGGTTATTATGAATTCTGTCAACCATCAACACAGCAGTTGACCTCAAGGCACAGTTTTGATGACAACGTGTTCCTGCGGATTTCTTTGCTTTTTTTTCTTTTTGGTTTTTTTGAGGGAAGGGCTCATGATGTAGCCTAGGATGGCCCCAAAGTTGCTTCAATTCTCCTGCTTCAGCCGCCCAAGAGCGGAAATGACAACTGTGCACCACGTTAACACCAGGTCGGCTTTCAGGAGGGGAGAGGAGGCATGGTGGCCTCTGTGGTTGATAGCCAGGGCAGTGTTCTCAGAGAGCTTAGGACCAGGAGCCTCAGAGCCCTGATCACTGTCCCTGGTGCTCCTCAGTCTGGCTCTCCCAGCGGCACCCCTATTTTACATGCCCACAGCTACTGCCTTACCTGTCCCTTCACCCCAAAGCCTGTGTTCTGAGCTCCTAACCTACAGATCCCCATATATGACTATGTTTGGAGGCAGTACCTTTATTTTTATTTACTTATTTTGGGCTTTTTGAAACAGGGTCTCACTATGTAGTTCAGGCTGGCTTTGAACTCACTATGTAGCCCAGGGTTACCTTGAACTTACAGCAATCCTCCTGCCTCAGCCTTCTAAGTGCTAGAATGACAGATGTGTGCACCACGCCTGACCCTGGAGACAGCCTTCAGAGAGGTGATTAGGTTAAAGTGAGGCCACTGGGGAGAAGGGTGCCCTGATCCTTCTGCCTGGCAGTCTCGTAAAGAGAGGATGAGGACACACGGAGTCCTGGGGCAGAGTCCTGGGGCAGTGTAAGCAAGAGGAAGGCCGGCCAAGGCAACAGGCACCCGGTGCTCAGACGCAGCCTTAGAACCATGAAAATACTCGGCTGTGGCCCAAGTCCCTATGGGTGACTTTCTGCCTGCAGCCCCAGGAAGCTCACTGCTCCCTCATCAGCCTCTGCACCTCTGTGACCCAGGAAAGGGGCTGCACAGCCAGTACCACAGCCTCCTCCTCCACCCGCTGCCTCGGTGCTCAGGGCCTTTCGTGTGCTTGGCGAGTGCACTGCTACCGCGCGGCATCCCAGCCCCAGTGGGTTTTTAACACCAGGAACACACTTGAAATCCACCCTGCACTGCCCCTACCCTCCGCTTTGGGCTCCTGACTCTCTCTGAGGACAGGGTGCCCCTGGGCCAGCAGCACCCTCGCACACACCCGCCCAGGGGCCCTGTCACGCCAGGCAGAGTGGGCTCAGCCTCCCAAGCTCAGAAGGAGAACTGGGGCACAAGAAGCCAGTGACTTCGAAACACTAAGGAAAAGTCACAACGGAAGCCTCCTCACACGCAGGTCCACTGACCAGCAAAGGCCAGCGTGGCAGGGCGGGAAGTGCAGAGGCCGCATCTGCTGTGCTCAGCTACGACGTGGTGGCTGGGGCTGGCTCAGTCTGTGTTCTGTTGCTGTGATGAGATCCCTGAGCCTGGGCACTTCACAGAGGAGATCACTCAGCTCCCAGGTTCGGAGGTCCAAGGAGGTGGCCAGCATTACTATGGCCTGGTGAGGGCCTTCTGGTGGTATCACCACATGGCAGATGGCTCCTAGGGAGAGTGCTCTGAGAGGGAGGGATCTGAGACAGGAAGCAAGTGGACGGAATCAAGGCAACTAGGACCTGGTTTTTGAATAAATAAAACTGTCAAGCCTCTAGCAAGACTGTCAGAGAGAGGGGGAGGGAAGTCACACATTACAAACACCAGGAATGAAACAGGATGTTCTAGACCACAGATCATCAGCACAGATCCACAAACACAAATTACACAACACAGAGGAAACGGACCAGCTTCTTAAAGCATGTAAACCACCACGACTTTATGTGAAACGGATAATTCCAACCACAAGTTCTGTAACTAGTAAGGGAATTTAATTATCATTTTTTTTAAAATGGCAAAACAAGAGGTTTCTGAAAAGTCAAGGAGAATCTGTGCCATCTTACTGCTCAGCATTCCTGGACCGTGATGAAGTTCGTGGCGCCTACAGAACGGCCATGACTGGCCAAGCGGCTCAAGGTGTGGAGGCCCTGGGCTGTGATCAGCGCCAGTTGCCCTGGGCCTACAGCAAGGGTGCGTGTTCTGGTGGGAGTGTGGAGGGCAGAATGGCTACCTCAGGGCCAGGAGGCTACTTCACAAGGAAGGGAGTCTGTCCTACTTTGTTACAAGTATAACAAAATACTAGCTGGGTGTGGTGAGACACCCATGTAATTCTACCTACGTGGGAGGCTGAAGCAGGAGGATTGAAAGTTTGTGGTTAGCCTGGGCAAAAAAGTGAGTCCTGTCTCAAAATTTAAAGGGAGAAAAAGGGGAGGGTGTGGAGGTGTAGCCTAGAAAGCTCTTGCCCAGCTTGTATGAAGCTGGGTTTCTCACACAAAATGCTGGATACTTCATAAAGGAAAGTTGTTTGCTCTGTTTGCAGTCCTGGAGGCCACAAGTCCAGGGCAGAACAGCTCGTCATCTAAGCCCTGTTGAGGGCCCTGTCTGCAGCCCGTGACCTGGTGGAGCGCCGCGGTGGGTGTGCCTGTGAGGGCTGTGAGGGGGCAGTCACAGGGCAGATGGGAGGGTTGGGCTCCCTCACTCCCCTCCCACTAGGCTCCCCCAGAAATCATAAAATGCTTCCCAAGGGTGTAGCCCCCAGTGACCCCAACTCCCTCCTGTGCCCTCTTGAAGACTCTGACGCTTCCCACACCCCCACGTGGCTCAGGGCCACACAAGATCCTCTGGGGGACAAAGGAGGAGGAGGGGAGCGCCGCCTGTGAGCTGTTCAGGGATCTCCCGGCTGTGGGATCTGCCTGGAGCTGGCGTGACCTGGGAAACTGGATCACCAGGAGACTCCACCGGGGCGCTTAGCAAAAGCTGCCTGGGTGTGTGGAGACCGGGTGTGCATGGTGCTAGCTCAGGGTGGAGCCCGGACAGGCGGGCTGAGTCTGAGGGCTTCGTTGGAGGCCTGGGCACCGCCCCTCCGTGCACAGGGATGACACCCCGCTCCTCACACTGCCTGGTCCTGCATGAATCTGCCCTTCCTGAACCTACAGAGCCTGGTGCCAGCTATGCCGTGCTGAGCAGTGGTGGAGGGCTCGGAGGACAAATGGATGTGCTCTCAATGCCCCCTTTGGCGGAGAAGAGTTGAGAGCCCTGTGTAAGGTCTGCCCTGAAGGGGAGGCAGGTAACAAGCGCCCACTCTCATGCTGGTCCCAGGGCCTCTCTGTGTCTGCTGTTCTTAGCCAGGCCTTGGTGACTTCAACTCTGTACCACTCAGCAGGAGCTGGCACGCAGTGGGTGCCCAATAAGTGCTGCAGGGACAGCTCTGAAGCACACCCTGACTCCACCGCGGAGCCTTGCGCCACCCAGAATCCTCTCTGCTTGTCCCTGCCCTCATTTTCACCATCGCTTTACATAACATGGGTGGTTTCACCTTCTAAAAAAATACTAACTCAATTACTCTGTGAATATTTATCAGAACCAAAGGAATGAAAATAAGCTCCCGCAGCGCAGAAACCCAGATGTTTGGGGTTATTTTTCCAACACAGTGCTCAACTATTTTACTTATTTACTGTTTTTCTTAAGACACAAGGCAGACTGTGCTGTGATGTGGACAGAGGCCCTGTCCTTGCGTCCCCTGTCCCTCGGGAGTGTGGGCACACTGGGCGGCCACCCCGGGCGGCTGAGGCGGGACAGACCGGCAACGGGAAACAGCTGTGTGGCCCATGCTGTCTCCTCGGCCCCAAGCGGGGACGCGTGCTGCAGACGAGGGACAGGCGGCGACAGCCGGACAAGGAAGTCCCTTGCCACGGACCAGGCAGAGCGGATCCGCCTGGCTTGGCTGTGAGGTCACTCAGCAGGGTCCCACCAGCCACGCCGGGCCTCCTCCTCCCGGCCACTGGAGAGGACGCTGCCCAAGGAGTCCTCGGGTGCCACCTCGAAGCGGCCTCATAGCTCTACTGTGCTGCCCACAGCCTTCCTTGGCCTTAAAAATGCCACTCAAGGAGGAGGAGGAGCTGGCCTGGGCGTAGGGGGTCAGTGGCTTCTACCCTGAGGAGGAAGATGTGCCCTGCAGTGCCCCAGCAGATGACACATTCACGGTGGACAGGCTCATCCCAGGAAAACGACACCCCCAGAAGCTGCTGGCGGGTGATGGCTCCCCAGCTTCCGGGCAGCGCCTTGGCAGCCAGTGCTCCAGGCCTGGCACGGCTTCTCACAGCTCAGCCTGCAGCCTGGGTTCCTCTTCGTGAGCATCTGCAGTGGCCTGAGTGGCCCCCAAGGGCCCGGCCACGACCCTCACCACACACTGCTGTCCCTCGTGACTCACATGTGCCTGCTGAGGCTCTGCACCTGGGCCGCCATCTCCCACCTGTGACCCTCGCCCCCCAGCCCCTCCTCCCATGGGCCCCGCTTTGCTCTCCTCACAGCACCACGCAGCGGGGGTGGGCGGCTCTTGCTGCCTGTTCAGCGGCCGCCATCACCCCAACCCTGCTTCCGGGGCCTCCTGTCCGCAAGGCAGACATGGTGGGTGGGTGTGTGAGTCTGTGGGCGCTGCACGGGGGCTGACGGGCCTCCCTGTCCTCTCAGGTCTCCTTTCTATCGGCCGTGCTGCTGTCAGGGACACCTTGTAAAGGTGAACATCAGGTCTCGGTCCGTCACCACAGTAAGCTGTCTAATAATTCCCCTTGCTCTTGGAACAAATCCAGACACCCTCCCTGCCCCAAGACCCACGGAGGGCCCCCCGCTGCTCCCAGCCCCCAAAAGAGGTCACTGCCACGGGTCACTGATGTGACCCAGAGGACACTGCTTGGCACAGGAGGTGTTTCTGCTCTGATATCAGAAATCGGGTGCTGTTCCAGGAATTCTCTTTGAATAAAAAGAGGCCACAAACACCGATGGCCAGAGGCTGGGAAGATGTCCAGGTCCCTCCTGTCACCTCACACGGCTGTGCCCTCCCGTGACATGTGCTCCGGTAGAAACAGAACAGACCAGTGCCAGACACCAAGAGGGTGCGGCCTTTGGGCAGGGGTCACAGAAATAGAGAGCTTTCCGGGCTGGTTCCTAAAAACAGCTTCAAGTCTCAGCAGTGGCAGGGCTGGCGCCTCACCCAGCCCGTGGTTTCTGCTGCTGTCTCCACCCTTGCGATTCCATGCGGAGAACTTCTGCAGGGGGGCAGGAGTGCAGGTGACCCGAGGGCCACACTGAGGCGGAGTATGGCCTCTTCTCAGACGTACCTGGAGATCAGTATCACAGGGACCAGAATGCAGCGCCAAACACCCGCTCGATGTCAAACAAGGCGGTGACAGAAGCCATAGTCGCCACCTTTTCCCAGAGGACTCAGCAAGGTATTTCAGTTTTCAGTGAGGAAACACAGTCCACGGCTTTCTGCCCTGGCCTCTTGCCCAAGTCCTCTGGGGCTGGGGTGCCCTGTGGCCCAGCAGCCTCAGCAAGGCATGGTGAGCTCCCACGCCGGGCCATTGTCAGAGCCAGCCCGGCACCCGCGTGCATGTTTTCAGGCTACGACAGCAACTTCCTGGTGCCACTGTCCTCAGTCCCCTTCATCTCATCTCCCTGTGGAACCCAGCTCCTGTCCCCAAGCCCCTCTGCTCCACTGGTGCCGGCCTGGGCCTGGGGTCTCTGCAGTGGGGGGACTGCTGGGTCACGGTAGCATCGTGGAGAGCAAGACAGATGTGGCCTCCTTCAGGGACTGTGCAACTCCTCGGTGACATCTTGGCCCTCTCGTCCTCCTCGCCAGCACACCTCCAAGGACAGGCACTCCATCTTCCTGGATCACCCCTTTCACTTTCTGACAACTTTATCAGAGCACTCAAGCTGTCACCAGGTCGAGAGCCCTGGCGTCATCTGCTTCCTGCAGCACAATGACAGAGTGCAGGAGCCTGCGACAGTTGTCAGCCATGTCACCTGCCATTTGCTGGGGCCAGCGCCTGGCCTGTGATGGAGTCGGTCACTTCCGCTCTGCACCAGCGCAGCTATGGCTTCTGCCACCAGCCGTTCACACTCTAGCAGATAACTGCTGGCCACAGCAGGTCTGGAGCACTGCAGGAATCCGGGCTGACCAGATAAAGCCCATTATCACTGCAGCCGCAGTGTACAGGCTCACTGAGGACTTACAGGACATTTTGTCAACATGTGGGCTTGTCCCGGGAACACGGGTGTTGGGTCTGACATGAAGGACCGGAGGCTCCGGAGATAGCAGGCCTGCTTATCAGCCATGGTGCCCGAGTGAGGTCAAACATCAACACCACAGCCGTCCCAGATGAAAACAAGTCCTAGAACACCAGGGCAGGAAGATCCCCGAGCCACTGGGGATGGAGGAAATGAGACCCAGCAAGGGAACCAGAGGGGACCACAGTCTGCAGGCAAGGCTCAGGTCTCCTAGCAACAAAAGAAGGCCCTGTCCCCTTTGCAGACTGGACCAGGCATAGAAAGGCAAGGGGAGAGGTCCAGAGTCAGTGACAATCTACTTCTCTAGAACCACAGTTTATTATGCTGTTTCTGGATGGTGTCTTGAATGTATCCTTGAGATCCAGTGAAAATGGGGTAAATATATTACTTGTTGCAGGCATAATGGTGCGCACCTGTAATCCCAGCACTTTGGAGGCTGAGGCAGGAGGATTCCCATGAGTTCAAGGCTACCCTGGGCTACACGTTGAGTTCAAGGTCAACCTTGAACACACAGTGAGACCCTATCTCCAAAAACCAAAAACCAAAAAAATTAATCACTTATTGATTTAATCTCTCAATTTTATTGAGCACAGCCTCATCCATTCTTTGGCAGACTTGTTCCAAGCACAGGACCACGGGGTGAGTCATGCACATGGTTCCCTCTTCATAGGCCCTCTGCTCTAGATAAGGAGATGGGCAATAAGCAGAGAGACCATCAGGGGAACAGGTGCTGTGAAAACAAAGGAAGCTAAGGCTGTAGGAAGTCCTGAGGGAATGGGTGTGCTGTGCACAGCAGGGAGGTCATGAAAGGTATTACGGAGAGACTGACGTGCAGAATTGGAAGACACTTAGGCCATGTCTTGAGAATGTATTGGGAAGTTCTGCAGGAGTAGCAGCCATGCACAGGCCCTGGTGCAGAGAGTGCATGGCTATCCTGGAATGGCAACGAAGCTGGGGAGCAGAGGGAGAGAGGAGGAGAGGGCAGGAGGCGAGGGGACCTAGAGGGAGGCAGGGCTGATCATGCAGGGCTTGTTTGTTACTGTGGGGATTTAGGGTTGTCCTGTGCATATAGTGGATGTCGCTGCTCGAGTTTCTTGCGCAGAGGAATAACGTGGCCTGGCTGACTCTTTGAAAAGTCACTCAGGCTGCAGAGCTGAGACAGAACGGCAGGAAAGCAAAGGCAGAAAGAGGCTGATTTGTATAACGTGGTGGACTGCTTGGCCGAGGAGTCAGGGGAAACTAGCATTTGCGGCCTACTCACAGCATCAGGGCTGCTGCTTCCTGCAGTGGGGAGACAGCAAACAGAGCAGGGTGGCGTGAAGAGCGCTGGGGCTCTGGCGCAGGCTGTGGACAGGACACGCCCTGAAGGCCCGTGTGGAGGTCTGGTCACCAGCCGTGGTGCTGGACAAAGTTACGCAGCTTTCAGGAGGTGGCCTTGTGGGAGGAAGCTGCTTCTCTGAGGGCACGATCTTGAGGGGGGCACTGGCGTTATCCCAGCCCCTTCTGCTCTGTTTGTGCTTCTTGGTCACCATGAGGCCATCATCGTTGTCCCACCATGATGCTCTGGGTCACTGTGGCTCAAAGGCAATGAAGATTGCTGACCTCGGACTTGAGCTCCGAACCTCTCTCTTGCTGGGAGTTGGTCCTCTTAGGTGTCTCGTCACAATGCAAACCTGACCAACGCAGTTTGACATATCTACAAGATGCGATTAGAGACTATGTGAATGTTCAAGTTCCAAGAATTTATTACACAACACACACCTAGCTTTAATCCTCCTTGAAGTCCTCCCCCTCCTTTTGAACACACTCATCCCACCATCCTTGCTACTTTCTGAAGCGCTCTCAAAGCCCCCTTTTCTGTCTTTAGATGTGCTGTTCTGGCGGCCTTGAAGTCCTGAACTGATTCAAAACATTTTCTTTTCATGGTCATCTTGATTCTGGGGAAGAGCCAGAAGTTGCGTGGTGCCACACCCGGTGAATAAAGGGATGAGGACACAGAATCATGTTTTCACGAGCTGCCTTTTGCTTGAATGGAGCTCAGCAACAGCATTCATTGTATTTTTTATCACACCTTGTAAAGACACACAGGAAAGAAGACTCCAGAGCTGCTGCAGAAATTGGCAAGCACAACGGGATTAGTGCATTCAAGGAGAGGGGGAAGACTCTGAGGAAGATTCATAGCAATATTTCTTGCACTGTAATAACTTTTCAAAGTGTAAACACTCACCAGGTGTTTGGATTGTCCCTGTCTAGTCACTCAAGTGGAGGTTGCTGGGGGTGGAGGCCAGCGGAACACAGAGACCAGGGGTCCAGGAAGAGGCCCAGGTCAGGACGTGGTGTGGAGGCTGTCAGCTTGCAGGAGGCGCTTAGAACCTTGCAGCTGAGATGAACATCAGCCTCGTCAGGGACAGCCTGTGCGGAGGTGAGTGAAGGAGGCCTGAGGCCTGTGCCCTGCACACTGTTCAGAGGTCCAGCCCATGAGGAGACACCGGTGGAAGGACCGAGAGGGTCTGAGTGAAGAAGGAGTTCCTCTGGAGGGCAGCAGACAGTGCTTCAGGGAGGACAGGGTCGATGCTGCGTCTGAGATGACGAGATGATGGCCTCTGACAGCTTGGAGGCCAGGGTAGCCTTGAGGGAAGTCTTGGCTGGCACCACAGGTACAGAAAGTCTCATTCTGAGACCCGGAGGACAGCAACCAGAGACAGGGCTAAGGTGGTCTTTTCCTTTCCTTTCCTTTTCTGCATTCCCGGGATTCAACTTGGGGCCCCTCAGCAAGCTACATCTCCACATCCCCGCCTTCTTACTGTCCCCTCCGCCTTCCTCTTCCTCCTCTTCATCTCCCTCCTGCTCTTCTTCCTCTCCCATGGCCTTGGTTCCCCCTCTTCTTCCTCTTTTTCCTTTCCCTCCTCTTCCTCCTTCTTCCCCTCCCCCTCCTCCTTCCTTTTCCTCCTTCTTCCTCTCCCTCCTCCTTCTCTTCTTCCTCTCCCTCCTCCTTCTCTTCTTCCTCTTCCTCCTCCTTCTCTTCTTCCTCTTCCTCCTCCTTCTCTTCTTCTTCCTCTCCTCTTCCTCTTCCTCTTCTTCCATGGTCTCACTAAGTTGCCCGCCTCACACCTGTGTGTCTCCTGCCTCAGCTTCCCAAGCAGCTGGGGTCACGGCTGTGCACCACTAAGCCTGGCCAGGGTGGTTCTTTTAAGACTTTTGATGTCAAGAGGAGCAGAGAAGTGAGAAGGTAGAGGGGCCGTGGGGTCAAGAGTAAAGTCCTCTCTCCGAGTTCTGGGTACACAGGCCCTAACTCACCTCCTGTCCCCATCACAGGACCAAGGCCTGCGCCTGGACTTCAGGCCCATGGCAACAGTTCTCTTTGGTTTACTGGAGACAGGTCCTCCCCAGAGAACCCGCCAAGCCATGGCGAGACGAGCAGGAAGGAGAACAGCGGTGCCTTCTGGGACAGAATGATGGGAGAACGTGGGGGGCTCTGAGGAGCTCAGTGGAAATGGCTTTCGGGTTAAACCCTCAGGGTCGCTGGCCAGGTTACCAGTGACAGTGGAGGGAGGAGCTCGGCAGACAGAGCACAGGCTGGGCCCAGGGTGGGGACGGAGGTGGTAGCCCCTGCGTACGGGGTCAGAAGATGGCTGCTGCTGCTGATCTTCACTCCAAGTGGAGCAGGCCACCGTGTGGGAAGCAGACCATTCTGTCCATCTGCTTGCCCACTGTTTGGGGGTTGAAAGGGAAGCAAACTCAGAGGAAAGACAGGAGACTTCTTTAGGAAGGGAGGAGGGACAGGATGTGTCTCAGCCTGGGCTCCCCTACACCAGACTTGAGCCAAGGAATTGAGCACAAATAGTTTACCTCCCGCTGAGAAGGCCTTGTGGGAGCCAGACTGAGGTAAAGAGGAAGGGGCTGGGGAGGAGGGGTTGGCATGCCCGTCACCCTCTGGGCAGCAGGCTCAGCCACCCAGGAGCTCCAAATGCCAGCTTAGGGCACGGCCGGGTCCTGGCATCCTGAGCGACCCCGCCTGTGGGGAGAGGCAGTGCCAGCAGCTGGAAGAGCCCTGGGCACCGGCACAGGGCTGGCAGAGGAAGGCAGCCAGTGTGCCCCGTGGGCGGCCTGGGGATGTGGGTGCGACCCGGTGCCCAGGATTAAGCCCTCTCCTTCCTGCTGCGGACTCTTCCTGGAGGTGGTCGGCCCCACCCGGGGACAAAGACGGCCAGTCCAGCAGAGCCCAGATTCCCCAGGGTTCCTGAAGTGAATGATAGGGACAGATCTGCCCGCTGGCCAGCACTACATGGGCAGAAGCCGTCCTTCCGCAGAAGGGGCACAGGGACGGCCCAAATCCATCAGAAGCAGCTTTGCTGGAACTAGAAAAACTAAACATTTATAGTAGGTGTGAACATGTTTAATCAAAAAGATAAAATAGCAAAACCTCACCAGCATCCTGATAGCAGAGCTCTGTGGTGTTTGAGTGAACCCAGCTGGGCAACGGCTTTGGAGGGAAGCGCCCACATTCCGGGCGGGCACAGATTCCCGGTGCAGAGGGCAGCAGAATGGCCCTCTTCGCAGGAACTGTGGCTTCGTTCGGACCCATCTGGTGACTCCTGAAGAGCGGGGTCACCTCTGCGCTGTCTCTAAGGGCCGAAGCAGCTTCCCAGAAGACATTTGTGAAGAACACCGAAAGGCATGCACATTAACCACTTCTCCTTGGGGCACCAGAACATAGCCGGGGCAAACTGTGGACAAAGCAAGGGCTCAAGGGGGCTGGGGATTTAGCTCAGCGGCAAAGGCGCCTGCCTGGCAAGCGCAAGGTCGTGAGTTCGGTTCCCGGTACCGGAGAAAAACAAAACGAAAAAACAAAACAAAAAAAAAAAAACAAGGGCTCAGGAACAAAGGCTGGAAATCGACTGGGACACTTGGAGAAAATAGGGCTTTGAACTGCTGCCACATCTGCCTGAGGACCGAGGGGTCCACGGCCAGGGCTGCGGAGATTAAGGCAGAGCTGGAGACACCCGGCTTGGGCTTGGAGGCACGGAGTTTTTTTCCCATTTGGCTCCAGACAGAGAATACAATTCTGTGTCTAAACCGCTCACCGACTGTAAGAACAAAGGCCTTGTGGCTGCACATGACAAAGGACAGAATCTTCACAAAATTAATGGAGAAAGGAGAACTAAGCCAACAGCGGTTACAACAACCAGCAACAATAGACTCCAGTGAGGGGGAGGGAGATGTGACGACCGGAGTTGCAACACTCTAAGGAAAAGTGTTCACTTTGCTTTTTTTTTTTTTTTAAGTGTTTAATTTTCAACCAAAAATTATGAGTCATGCAATAAAACAAAGATGCCCCTCCCCCAAACAGGACGAACATAATGGAGATGACCCACAAGAAAGCCAAGACTTTGAACTCACTGCACAAAGTCCAAGGCAACTTCAAATCAACCCAAAGAGCTACAAAAGCCATGAGGTTGATACACCAACACATAGAGAAGATCAAGACAGAGATAGGACTCATAAGGGGGCCAAAGAGCATTCTGAGGTTGAGGTCCAATGACTGAAGTGAAAAAAGCTTTCAGGGAGAGTCAGCGCTTACATGAGCAAGCTGAAGAAAGACTCAGAAAGCCTGAAGGTGGATGCGCTGAGATTTCCCTGTCCGAGGAGATAGAAAAGTGAAAGGAAAAAAAGCAGCACCCAGAAGATGGGAGGGACAACCCAGAGACACCATCATTGTCACCAGGAGCCAGGGAAAGCAGAGAGAATGGATGACGGCCATGTGGCCAGTGTCACACCACACGTCCAAGTGTCGCAAGCAGCCCCAAGATTCTCACTGAGACACATTGTGTCACACTGCTGAAAACCAAAGCCGGACCCCTAGAAGCAGCCAGCGAGAGGTGACTCATCATAGAGATGTTGTCCTTACTGATACTGACGGCTGATGTCAGCTCAGAAACCAGGGACACCACGGGACAGAGGACGACTTCTTCATGCTCTGGTCAGGCAATGGTTCTCTGTGCAGGAGGCTACCCTTCAACAATGCAAGAGAAATGAAGACATTCCTCAGGAAACAGAAGTGGAACTTATTCTCTGCTGGGAGACTTGCCTTATGAGAAACGATAAAAGAGGTCCTTCTGGCTGAAATGAAGGGGCATGCTTTAAACAGTGACTTGAATTCATATGAAAAAGCAAAGGCTGTCGATAAGGTAATTTTCAAAAACTAAACACAGAGATGTTACGGGACCCATATTCCCAAAACAAACAGGATCGTGTGCTGTCATGGTGCACGCCTACCCATGTCTAGAGCAGTGCCAGTCACAGTAACTGAGCTGTAGAAACAGCCTAGCTGCCCGTCCACAGGTGGATGGATAAAGAACATGTGGTATATGCATGCACATGGTGGAATATGACTTGGCCATAAAGAAGGATGGAATCCTGTCATTTGTAGGAAAATGCGTGGCCTAGAAACCGTGATATTGAGTGAAATTAACCAAACTCAGAAAGCTAAACAGCACATGTTTTCTCTTATATGAGAAGCCAAATCAATAAATGAGAAAGGACGGGAAACCAGGAGTGGACTTCTCAAGATGGGTAAGGGGACATGCAGGTGGGAGAAGAAAGGAGAAAAGGGGTCAAAGGGATTGACGCTGTTTAAGATGTGTTAAGTCCATATACCAACTCCCCAAGATAAACCCTGCCATCATGTAATTTTGACCTGTACCAATAAAATACTAAAAATTAAACAATATGTGTATAATTATGTAAAATATGAATGCTATATTAAATCAGTACATTATTTTTATCTTATAAAATAATATATTTATAGTTCTATGCTTATATTTATAACAACTATAACTGTGCAATGAATATATGGTATAATAAATATATCATTATTATGTATTTATAATAATAAAGAAATGTAAGTCAGCCCTAAATCATCTATGATTTGTAACTCTTCTTTTTTTCTATGTAATTTTAAAACTAACATAAAACAATGATTATGAATATATATTGTATGTTTGTACAACATACAAACATACAATTTGTGACGATATCACAAGTGGACAGGAATGACAGAGCTACACAGAAATAATGCTTTGTATAGTATTGTAGTTAGTTGTATTAATTGAACTAATGTAATTGTTACAAATTAAGGTATTAGTTGTAATCCCTAAGCAACAACTAAGAAGATAACTGAAAAATAACACACACACAGAGTGAAATTAGACTCAGGAAGTCAAACATCACAGAGATAGAGAGAGAAAGAGAAACACATATAAAAATGATACACTAAGAAAAACCTAACAATAGAAAGCAGTAATGTAGGAGGAACTGAAGAACACAGGGCCAGGGATATAACTCAGCGGCACAAGCGCCTGCCTGGCAAGCACAAGGTCCTGAGTTCAATTCCTGGTACAAAAAAAAAAAAAAAAAAGAAGAAGAAGAACACAAAATATATAAGGCATACAGAAAAAAAATAACAAAACTGTAGGAATGGCCTTCCTCACCAGTAATTACATGAAATGTGAACAGTTCAAATTCTACAACTAAGAGACAGGCACTGAAGGAATGGATTAAACAAACAAACCATAGTCAAGCTACATCCTGTCTACAAGAGACCCACCCACTTCAGAGCCCAAAACACACGAGGCAGCAGGCGCAAGGGTGGGGAGAAGCGTCCACGCACACGGTAACTGCAGGGCTGGGAGGGACACGCTGATGGGAGACAGAATAGACTTCAAGACAGAATTTGTTGGCTGGGGGTGGTGGCGCACGGCTGTAATCCCAGCACTCGGCAGGCTGAGACAGGAGGATTGTTGAGAGTTCAAGACCTGCCTGGGCTACAAAGTGAGCTCAAGGCCAGCCTGAACTGCATAGCGAGATCCTGTCTCAAAAAGACAAAAAAAAACAAGAGACAGAATTTGTTACAAGAGACAAAAATGGACGTTACATAATGACAAAAGGTCAATTTATCAAGGAAATATGTAAATTATATGCCAATATCCATCTAAAAACAAATACTCAAAATATTTGAAGCAAACACTGTCAAAACCAAAGGGAACAATAGGGGCTGGGGATTTAGCTCAGCGGCAAAGCGCCTGCCTGGCAAGTGCAAGGTCGTGAGTTTGGTTCCCGGTACCGGAGAAAAACTAAAAAACAAACAAACAAACAAAAACCAAAGGGAATAATAGATTATTCTCCAATCATAGAGATTCAACACCTCAATGCACTGAAAAAGTAGACAAAGATGAAGTTTAAAAATCTCTGATAATCTCAAAGAAAAAGGATTTGAGAAAACTCAATACCCTTTCATATTAAAGAACACTCCACTAGGAATAGAACAGAAATTCTTCAACATGATCAAGGGCATCTACAAATAATCAGAGTTAACATCATACCTAATGATAAAAGATTGAACACTTTCTCCCTGAGGAAACAAAAAACGAGGGATGTCTGGTCTTACCATTCCTGCTGTATGAGTCAGTTTTCGGTTGCTGGGACAAATGCCTGATGTACAGCGCTCAAGGGAGGGGAGGTTTGTACTGGTTCAGCTTCAGAAGTTTTAGTTGTGGTGGAGCAAAGCCACTCACCTCATGGAGGCAGAGAGAGAGAGGAAGGACCAAAGAGGAAAGGGTCAAGCAGAGATTATCTCCTTGTCATGCTTTAGGAATCTGCGTAGCAACTCTCACATGAGTCAAGTTGGCAGGAAAATTAACCATTGCACCATCATACTGTTCAATGTTGTGCAGTGTAAATTCTGCCCAGGGCAATTCGGGGGTGGAAGGAGAGGGTAGGAGGAAGGGAGGGTGAAGGAAGGAGAGGAGAAGAGAGGTGAGAGAAGAGAAGAGAAGAAGGAGGAGGAGGAGGGAGGGAGAGAGACTGAAAGGAAGTGGGCACAGGAAAGGACCCACAGACGACAAAATATTCCCCAAAGTGATCAATAGATTCAGGGCAATCACATCAAATTCCAACTGCCTGTTTTTTCACAGATGGATAAGCTGACCCTAAAATTCATATGGAATTTCAATGGACCCCAAATGGCTAAAACAGTCTTGAAAAATAGGAGGTTGTATGATTTACACTTGTCAATTTCAAAACTTACTGAAATATTACAGCAATCAAAATAGTATGTTAGTGTCTCAGGATCGGCCCATAAACCAAAGGAGTAGAATGCAGAATGCAGACCCAAACCGTACACCTGCAGCTGACTGATTTCTAGCAGGTGTCAAGGCCCTGTAAGAGCAAAAGAATGGGTGACAGGGCAGGCTCTCAAAAAGGAATGACGTGGGATCCATATCTACAAATTAACTCAAACTGGATTGAATTCCTCAACATAAGCTCCAAAGCTGGAAAACACTTAGAACTAAAAATATTAGTAAATTTTCATGACCTTGATTTGGCAATATATGATTTTAGATATAACATCAAAGTGCAAACAATGAAAGAAAGGTAGGTTAGAAGGACTTCCTCAGAATTAAAGCTTTTGTGCACCAAGAATAGCATCAAAGAGTGAGAAAGTAACACACAACGAGAGAAAATATCTCCAGCTCATATGCTTAAGAAGGAACTGATATCTGGAATACAGAAAGAACTCCTAAAACTCAACAACAAAACTATTCAATTCAAAAATGACCTACGGATAATGGCCATTTCTCCAGAGCACACACAGAAGTGGCCAATAAGCACATGAAAAATGCTTGCGATCATCAGTCATGGGGAAATGCTGATCAGGTCAGGCGTGGTGGCGCACAACTGTAATCCCAGCACTTGGGAGGCAGAGGCAGGAGGATCTCTGAGAGCTGGAGGCTAGCCTAGGTTACATAGTGTGGTCAAGGCCAACCTGAACTGCATAGCAAGACCCTGTTGTAACAAAAAGAAAAAATGCTGATCAGAACCATGATGAGATGCCACCTTATGGCCACCATGATGGCTCTGATTTAAAATTTGAAAAATGACAACTGCTGACCAAGATCTAGTGAAACTGGATCTTTTATATGTTGCTGGTAGGACTGAGAAATGGTGTAGCTTCTTGGAAGAATAATTTGGCTATTCCTTAAAAAGTTAACCGTAGGGAGCAACCCATCCTGTCTCTTAGCTATTTCTGTTCTTCATTTCCCATTCCTATTCCCCATTCCTTTTCTCCATTACATTTTCCTACGCTTAACCTCAAAAAAAAAGTTTAGCATAGAATTCACGTATGACCCTGCAACTCTTTTTTTTTTTTTTTTTGGTGCCAGAAATTGAACTCAGGACATTGTACTTGCCAGGCAGGCACTTGTGCCACTGAGCTATATCCCCAGCCCTGACCCTGCAATTCTAAATATATGTTCAAAAGAATTGAAGAAAGGTGTGCAGAGTAAAACTTGTAGAACAATGTCATATCAGTCTTCACTATTCATAGTAGACAAATGGATAAACACGATATTGTATATACACGTAACGCAATATTGTACAGCCATAAAAAGGAATGAAGCACTGATCTATACTTCGACATGGATAAGCCTTGAAAACATACTGAAAAAAAGAAACTAGATTTTTACAAAGAGCACATTTTGTTACATTTTGTTTATAGGAAACGCCCAGGATAGGCGAATCCATACAGACAGAAAACAAGTTAGTCATCAAAGGCTGGAGTGACAGAAGAGTAGCGATTGACTATTATTGGGTGCAAGATTTCTTTTTTAAGTAATGAAGATGCTCTGGAATTACAGTGATGGTTGCACGAGGTTGTGAATGCACTAAAAGTTACTAAATTGTGTACTGGAAGTGACTATAATGGTGAATTTTATATCAGTAAAAATACACAAGGGCTAGGAGTTTAGCTCAGCGGCACAGCGCCTACCTGGCAAGTGCAAGGTCATGAGTTCGATTCCAGGTACTGGAAAAAAAAACAAAACAAAAAAATACACAGCACCTCAGTCCTGTAGAGCATCAATGCTGCGCAGGCACCGTGGCTGTGCTTCTGAGAGTCTGCCCAGCATTCTAGCTGACCAGCTAGCAGGTTCTGGGAAGACCACGTGTCCATCTTTACATATCTTCTGTGATGTAGTGGGTTTCCTGGTGCGTTCACTTGGCAGCCCCCAAAGAGGAGCTGGAGAGATTGTCGGGTACTGCAGCAGGGAAATGCGCTCTCAAGGAGCAGGAGGAGGAGCAGAAGCTGGTGGCGGGAGTGGGTCTTGGATAGGCAGAATCCCTGAGGCCCAGTGGAGTAAGGATGGGGTATAATGATACCTTGGTTCGCGAATTCCTGTGTTTGTAAGCAATTCATTTCAAAACAAAAGCACTTGGCAAAATTTTACTTCCATTCACTCTGCATCAGGTGACAAACATGACCACAGCCATCTTCCCCAAATCGTAAAACAAATTAAGTTCATCAGCCGAGGTCTTGCTATACTAACAGCACATTCTTCAAAAAAAATTCTCAAGTTGATACCTAATTGGTTAACATTATGCTTTCTAAATGATTATTATATAATCATATGAGTAAATACACTTAATTTTAAATGGAAATGAGGTTCAAACCCAGGAAAACCTTCCTAACTGAGCTATCTTGGGCAATCCTATCACTTTGGGGATGGCAGGAAAAGAGAACCGACATTCACCTACCATTTATTACAGTATACTGTAAAAATTATTTTACTTAATTACAGGTGACGGTTATTAGTCTCTTACTGTTGCATAATTCACAAATTGGACTTCACCACGAACGTGTCTGGATAGGAGAAAATTGGGTGGAGTTTCAGGAGAGTCTTTCCGTGGGTAAGGGGGCCTGATGTGATTGACATGTCTTTAAAAGGAAGACTTGGAGCCAGGCGTGGTAGTGCACACCTGTAATCCCAGCACTCGGGAGGCTGAGGCAAGAGGATAGTTGTGAGTTTGAGACCAGCCTGGGCTACAAAGTGAGCTCAAAGCCTACCTGAACTGCATAACAAGACCTTGTCTCAAAAAAAAAAAACCCAAAAAACAAACAAATAAAAGGAAGATTTGGGGAAGAGGAAAGAGATCAGGGGAGAGGGGAGGGAGGGCAAGAGAAAGGGAGCAATGGGGAATAATCAAAAAATGTTATCTGCAGGTACAGATATGCTATCTTAGTCACTTTCCTCATTGTTAAGACAAAATACCCAACACCTGCAATTGAAAGGAGGAGAGGTTTATTTGGGCTCATGATTCAGAAGTTTCAGTCCTTGCATGGCTGGCAGCATTGTGGAAGGGCCAGGCATGGAGAAAAACTTCTCAGGTCATGGCAACCAGGAAGCAGAGAGAGGAGAAGGGTAGAGGCTGGGAGAGGGACACCGCCTTTCAGGTCGTGCCCCCGTGCACCCACCTCTTCTGGCTGGGCCCCACCTCCTAAGAGCACATTTAGCTACAGCACACCCATGGCCTAATACTCTTCCAAAACCCTGCCAATGCATGCATGAGGTTTTCTTAATCTAAACCATAACATTACACCTTCAGCCCCAAAGAGACTTGTGTGCATATTTTTATGCAAAATTCATTTAGTCCATCTGCAAGAGCTACCAAAGCCCTGAAGTTTCAGCCTTTCTGAAAAGTTCAACTCCAAAGTCTTTTCTGAGACTCAAAGCAAACTCTTAGCTGTGAGTCCCTGTAAAAATCAAAAAGAAATCAAATATTTCCAACGTATAATTCCCATTCCAAAAGGAAGGAATATAGTGATAGGAAACCAATGGCACAAAAGCAAGACAAAAATCCAGCAGGACAAGCATTACTTCCTGCAGCTCCATGTCTAGCACCTGGGGCAAGCTGTGGTGAGATGTGAGCTCTAAAGGGTTTGGGCTGCCTCACTTTTATGGCATTGCCAGTTGCTGCTCTTGTGTTTTCTTTCTTGGAATGGCTTTGGTTGCTGTCTGCAGCCTTCCTTAGAGGTCCCACATTCCTGGCTTCTCCAGTTTCCTGGGGTTTTCACCATATTTTCAGCTTCATTCTCACAGCTTCATGCACTTTCCTCTTACGGGCATACTGCCTGGTCTCCCAGACCTTCTGGAATCTGAGTGGCAGCCTTCCTGACCTCAGAACTTTTGGATTCTGCATGCTTATAAAACCAGCACCATGTGATGATGCCAGGGTCTGCTGCCAGCTTGGGCAGTGGCCAGGTCCCATTGGATCATGGCTGCAGAGACCCCACATGGCCAAGCACTGTGAAACAAATCTGGAAGAAGCAATTCCCTAGGCAGCTCTCTAGGCCCTTCTCAAGTGGAGTGACCTGGTACACTCTTGAAAGCAAAGCCCTTCACTTTTGCAACTTTGAGTCTGTGAAGGGTGGGATCCGGCAGATTTCTTAGATGCCCTCCAGGCATCCTTTTTATTGTTCAGATATAAAGTACTTGGCTTTTTTTTTAAAGTCTTTTCAGCAACTAAGCTCTCCTTGGCCAAAACTTTGCAGGCATTTCCTTTCTGGGGAAATTGAAAACTTTTGCTCCAATTTTCAGTATATCTTTTTTTTTTTTTTTCCCAGTACCTGGAATCGAACTCATGACCTTGCACTTGCCAGGCAGGCACTGTGCCACTGAGCTAAATCCCCAGCCCCAATTTTCAGTATAAACATGTCTAAAAGCAGCAAGCAGTATCCAGTCTACAGACTGAACATTGGGCTGCTTTGAAATTTCCTCTTCAAGATTAGTCAGCTGCCGTTAATGTCAGGATAGTCCTCCCTCACTATATCATGGTTCACTTACTGCAGCTTCATTGTATCACAGGGTTTTTTAAAAAAATATATCTAATTCTGTATTGCAGAGTTTTTGCTACATTGTCGGATTTTGTGGTATATAGGTATTTATATAATATTTATTATTTTAATTATTTTTACCTGAAAATTTAAAATGATATAAAAAAGTTCATTCAAACATATTAAAAGAATATTAAATCAAAACAAAATACAGTATGTATTTCATCAGCAGTTGAATACTGTACTGTACAGAATGGAATTGCTGTGCACCACTACCACTTGTGCAAGTTTGCCAACGTGAGATTGTACGTGGCACACTATTGGCTGATGGAATGAAAGGCAACCAACCACAGCACTGTGTTCTGTATCCTGGGTGCTGATTGGCTCAGTGACTGTTGCATCAATCTGTTTGCTCTCCCGCACTGTGCCCATATGTTCAGCATCTCTCCTTGTCCACTTCACATCGAGTACCCATATAGAATTTTACATGTTGTTAAAATTACTTAGGCTTAAGAGTGTAGAAAGTGTTTAAGAGCACATGAAGTGTTTACAAGAGTGTGGGAAGGGTTTATAGGAGTGTGGGAAAGGTTTATAGGAGCGCAGGAAGGGTTTATAAAGCCTTAAAATATATATAAATAATAAATATAACACTGCTACTTCATGGATTTTCACATATTGTGGGGATCTCAGGAACACAACTCCCATGATAGGTGAGGGATCACTGTATTGTGCAAAACCTCAGGGCATGAGAAAAATGAAGATAAACTTCCTGCCAGAGCATAACACATATGGTCTCTAGCCCAACTGCCAATGGAGTCTTTGTTTCCAGTTGAAATCTCCTGAGTCTTGGGTTTTTACTGTCTGCATTTTTATCAGCATTCTGGTCTTCTGAGTACTGACTAGAATCTTGCATCAAGCTTGGCTTATATAAGTATTCCAGGACTTCTCTAGTTGGCATTGCCAAACCTTTCCAAGCTCCTCTTGCAAGCAAGTTCCAAAGGCTTCAAAACCGCATGGTCAAGCAGTCACAGCAATGACCTCATTTCTCAAGTACCAAACTCTGTCTTGGTCTTAAGTCACTTTCCTCATGGCTGGGACAAAATAACCAATACTTACAACTTAGAGGAGGAGAGGCACTTTGTCTCACATTTCAGAAGGTTTGGTCTTTCCATGGTCAGCATCATGGTGAAAGGGCCTGACACGGAGAAAAGCTGCTCACATCCGAGCAGCCAGGAAGCAAAGAGTGAAGGGAGGAGTCAGGAAGGGAGAAAAGCCCTATTAAGTCATGCCTCCTGCAACCCACCTCTTCCAGCCACTCACGCCTCCTAACAGCACATCTAGCTCCTCCAAAAGCCTTGCCTCTGAGTGCGTGAGGCTGGGGGCAGGGGCGATCCATTTAATATATGCTAAAATGAAACCTGCTATTCTGTATAACTAACATGCACTATTATAAAGAACTTAAAATTAAAAAGATGCCAACTTCTCTGCTGTCTTAGTACCCACACCATGCCCTCCTCTGTCGGAACTGGCATCTCCTGAATTGCCTTTGCACCAACAGAGGGACCCAGCTCAATGCAAAACCTCCTGCAAGTGCTGTGTGCCAAGATGCAGCATGGTTATGAGTCTGGGGAGCATCAGGCCCACTGAATAGGAAAAGACCAACCCAGAAAACTGAAGCGAATAGGAGGACACTGTAGGCGGGAGACCAGGGGCCCAGCCTTGTGCCTGCTTCATTTTCAGGAGGAAAAGAGCGGCCCAGGAATGGCCAGTCCATCCACACAGGCCATTAGAAGGGATCCATGACTTGAGTTAGGCTGAGCACAGTGAATCCTGGAACTTTGGTCAGAACCCCAGGAAAGAGGTGAATGGCTAGGCTGACTGTCCACTTGGTGCTGTTGCAGCCATCTTGTCACCCTGAGGGGAACAGTTGGCCGAGAATGAGTCAACAGCAGGGTGAGCAGAGCCAAGGGGAGGAGCAAGGCACACTCCTGACTCCCAGATGCAGCCACACCTACAGTTAGCTCCCCATTCATATTTTTCCTAAGCCAGTTTGAGTGGTTTTTTTGTTGTTAATGCAAAACCCTGGTTAATATCATCTGTTTATCTCCCACGGCTGCTCTCTGCTTCAGTTTTTAATTGAAGAATGTGCCCTTTGTCTATGTGATGATGGAGAACTCGCCCAGCTCGGCCCGGACCGTTCCCTCCTTTTCACACTGACCCATACGAACCTCCCGGCCACCTGCTCATGGATGCCCAGGGTTTGGACAGCCACCATCGAGGCGTTAGTTCTCTGCTAGAAAACTTCCTCTGAAGTCAGAAATGCTGCGCTCATTACCCACATGCCTTCAAAGGAATCACGACAGAATCCTTGAAGAATGCAGGGCCGGGGGCTGCAGGCATCTCCTCACGGTGGGACACTGAGGCCCTGTCTTACGATCACACAGTCCTCCATGGTGGGCCCGGGATTCGACCCCATGGCTTTCCTTGAGCCATAACCTGTCCCGATCACACATCAGTAACGGTAACCAGCAGCCGCTCTGCCAGGGAACGCTCTGCCAGGGAACACTTTGAGGCCTGCTTCCCAGTCACCAGCCTTCCCACTTTCACATCTTCAACCCAAGAGCCACTCTAATGAGCAACCTACAGCCTGAGAAGAGGCCAAGGGGCCTGTGTGGCTCACTCTTTCCAATGTAGGCGCAGAGGTCACCGGGAGGAAGTGCATTTATCTCACCCTACGCTTACCTGGTTACCTCTTTCAGTACTGTAAGCTGCAGAATCATTTGTCTGGTACAGTAGGACCCAGATCAGTTCGTGCTTTATTTCCCGGCTATCTCTGCCAACAGCCATTTGCTGGTCTCCTGAGGGAGGCATCGCTGGTGAGAACGGAGCCTGGGGTTTGGGAATGCAGCGCTCCTGGTCCAGGGCGCATGAACCAGGTGCATATTTGGATCACCTCCCTCCAGACATCACTTCCAGGGCGGGGGGCTGCCAAAAGTGATATTTCCCAAGGTGTTTTCCAGTAGGCGGTTTTTAGAAATCAAAAAGAAAGGAAAGAAAAAGAGGAGAGCGAGAGAGACAGAGAGAGAGAAGGGAGGGAGGGAGGGGGAGGAAGGAGAGAGGGAGGAAAGGAAAGGGGAGGGAGACCCCCCCCCCAGTCCTGTCATTTGGAGGCTGCTAGGCAGATGCACCTGGATAGCAATTGGCACCTTTACTACAGGTCCTGGAAAGTTGTCTCTCCTCACGTACCGAGCCGCTGAGCAGGGACAGCACCGGCGGCTCCTAAGCTGACCGAACACAGAAGGGGACATTATCCTGCAGAGGTGTTCTGCAAAACAAACCTTGAGAAAAGTTAGATTCAGAGACCCATGGGATCCTTGCCAGCTCTGAGAAGTGAAACGAACAGTCTGCCTTAGACTCTGCGAGCAGCATCCAGGCACATAAACAATAGCAAGAGAATAGCAGTCAGCGCGGCTCGTGGCGTTCAGCTGTGATTTAGAGAATGACAGCCCAGGGAACGGGCCAAACAGCACGGCCAGACGGAAGCGGCAGGCAGGCAAGCCACCCGCGGTGACACTGCTTGGAAGCTCAAGGACATACAGGTTATCCCCGCTGTGCCACCGAATCCTGGGTGAGGCATCAACTCACCATCTCTTGGCTCCAGGAAAGTGCCTTGGAGACTCTGCTGCAAAATCAGAAAGGCTTTGAACTTCTTGCAAGAGATCCAGACCCAGAAAAACAAATGCCTGTGGCAGGTCTGCTGCCTGCAGGGAGGCAAAAGCAAAGACCAGCAAGCATCTCTGGAGTCAGCTTGAGAAGAGATGAACATCTGAGCAACCTCTGTTACTGATCGTGAAGGTGCACGTGATAAGATGGGCATCTCGTCAGGGAGCTTTCTCTGCTGCCCGATGCTAGTGAGCATAAAAGGTGCCGGAGAAAGGGAATCATGACTTCTTTCTTGGCAGAAGTCCTCCAAGTTTATTTTCACGCAAAATGGAATTTTCCTGTTACGGGAGATTCAGGAAACAGCAAAGTGGGGTCAGAAGGTGGCTGCGGAATGACCTTTCCTCAGGAATGTGCGGCTGGGTGGGGCTGGCGCAGGTGCATGGTCAGCACCCAGGGCCAAATTCTGCAGTGGCCACAGGTCCCCTCTGGGGAGTAACCTCCACTTTATGAGCTCAGGCTTTTTTAATCTAAAAAAAAGAAAAGAAAAAAAAACATTGGGTGAGGTTTGGGGGTGTGGCTCAGAGACAGAATGTGCTCAGCACAAGAGAGGTCCTGGGTTCAACCTTAGGTATTGGGGGGGGGACGGGGAGGGGGTCTCCAACTTTAAATCAACACAGAGGCACTAGCGTGAATGGAGACCCAGAGTTGAGGGACTTGATTTGAATTCTGACTCTGCCGTTGGTACAGCAAGCCACTTCCGCTCTCTACCAGCCTTGGTTTCTTCATCTGCGCCCACCTTGGAGAATGTTGTGGTCCTGAAACAAGCCATGTGTCACATCAGCCCACGGTAGACAGCAGTAATTGGGAGCTGTTTCTACGGGGGCTGTCGTGTACTCTGAGATGAGGGCCTGGACAAGCTGACATTGCCCAGTTCCTCCCGCTGTGATCCACCTCTCTGGGGTCCTGAGGCTGGACTCTTCCAGTCGCTCATCAGTGGTGGGTTTCCCACCGCTAAAGCCACATCCACGGGGACCTCGGGGCTGCCCAAATCCCTTTCACGCAGCAGAGTCCTCGGCCCATGCAATTGTTCCAAAGTAGGAGAGAGGAAGTAAAGACAGGTAGAAAGGAGACAGGGGAAATCATGATTTTAAAAAGCTGTACTTGGGCTGGGGATTTAGCTCAGCGACAAAGCGCCTGCCTGGCAAGCGCAAGGTCGTGAGTTTGGTTCCTGGTACCGGAGAAAAACCAAAAAATAAATAAATAAATAAATAAATAAATAAAAAGCTGTACTTGTAAGAAGACGGCCACTTCCGGGACCTGGTGGAAGTTCCCCTAGGTGCTCCACATCAGCATTTTGCATTAAAATAAGCATCTCCCCTCGAAGATCTGTCCTCCCACCCCACCCACCCACACATTCCTTAAGGGTTCTGTAAGTCCATAAATTAGTTTAGTTCAGGAAGTAAACAGCACAAACCTGATCTTAAGATAAAGGGAAGAGTTGAAAGAATTCCAAGAATGCTTAAATTATCCATCTAAAAACTAGGGGCCCATACTGTCAAATGGGCCATTACCCTGCTGGGGGGGTGGGCGTTCTTTTCCGAAGGTTTCCACCCTCAAGAGAAACATAAATGTTCCCAGCTCCAGAAGAAAGCTCGCCTCTCTCTTGAGGGCTACACTCTACTTCCTTGAGTGTGTACTTTTGAAATTCTTCCTAATAAATCCCTTTTGGGCTCTTACTGACTGGGCCTGAAAATTCTTTTTCCACAAAGGGAGACAGCAAGCTTACTCAGTAGGAGGTGTAGGGTGGTAGCACCCTGCTTTTTGCTTTGGGAACCTGCAGGGACCCTGTCAGGGACACGTTCTCTTGGTGAGCCAGCAGCAGGAGGTAAAGAGCCACCAGGACTAGGACTCGGTAAGTCTCCTTGAAGGCTTTTCCATATTTTGTTTCCCGTTTCCCCTTGTCTCTGAAACATAGCTCTCTTTCCCTCCCTCCCTACCTCTCTCTGCCTCTCGCCCTCTGCAGCCTTACGGTTTTTCCCTTCTCAGCAATTAGAGGCTCCCAAATCCCTAGAAAATGGGTGCTTACACATAAAACGCCATACAGTTCGGAATAATGTGTCTCTATATGTTGGCTTGAAGTACACATACCTCATGTTATCCTCCAAGAGTCCTGTTGAAGCTGGGTTGTGGGGTGAGTGGATATCCATGATATAGCCCATGTGCCTTCTGTCCACCTAGCTTAACAGTGAGCTCATTTAAATTAGTTCCAAGAGAAGGGCAAGGATGTCTTTAAGGTGGGTAACCTGTTTTGCCCAGGTTGTTAGCCAACTAAAATAACACTTTTTTCTTAACACAATTGGTTTTGTAAATTCAATGCCCATTGTTTTCTGTATTCAATGAGTTTTTCCTTGGTCAAGGAGAATATAATACACATGGCTTCACTATGCTGTTTTGGTTTTCATGAGTAATCTGAGGTAGTTGTTAAAATGAGTAAATAAATAAATATAAATGAAGTTAGTGGTTATAAATATAACAACATCTGAGTCATCTGTTGCTAAATTCCAATATTCTTGACTTCTTAAAAGATAATGTATTTGGGTCTGTTAAATGTTTTCGTCTATTATTAATATATATAAAGATTAAGATTGTTTTCTTAAGTTTACTAAGACAAGCTAATACTGAAGTTAACATTCTAATATATAATTCTATGTTTACACAATATTAAAATTTCCCCTAAGTGAGGGGCCAGTGGGCCCGAGGAACTACGGCGCAAAACTCCCTGCAGTGGCTCACACAGCAGCTGCCCGACAGTTTGCCTCAGCTTCCTCAGAAGACAAGAGGCTGCTCAAGTTTCCCCCATGGTCTTATTGTGCCTCACTCCAACAAATGTTATTAAAACTTATTATTATATATTATTAAGTTGGCTGTAATTAAAAAGATAAAGCTTTCCATGTCTAAAACAGTAAAGTTTTCTTAAGATGTTCAAGTGCTCTAGGGCAGGGGATGTGGCTCAGTGGTAGAGCTCTTGCCTTGCGTGCACAAGGCCCTGGGTTTGATCCCCAGCACCACAAAAAAAAAAAAAAAAAAATGCTCTTAAAATATAAAAACTAGATTAAGGGACAAAGGTTTTATATTTTATCAAGATAACTTCTTGTGTTTTCCACTGTTA